ATGCTTGCCATAGCCCCTTCGCGGTAATAATCTTGACTCAGAATGAATAGGCACTTTTAGAATAGCGTACGCAAAGCTCCGGGTATTTCAGTTTTGGCGAGTCTTTCAATTAGGTTTTTTGTCTCTGGAGGCGTTATTGGGTTTTTATTTTCGTTTGTAAGCAGCCATATGCAACTTTGGTTTCCGTAAGGTTCACTGCACGCAGTTGGAGGCATAGAGTTAATATACAGTCAGTATATTAACTTGGTTGGAAGTGAGCGGCGGCATTCTCCGAGCAAGCAAAATGAGGGTAGAGTGCGTTTCACGACTCCTCACGGCGATTTCAAGTCAAACAGTGGTTTATACACTGGATTGTATTTTAAAGAGAAAACCTTAAATGCCTCATCAAACGCGAAATTTGAGCGCCGGCGTCAGAAACGAATGATTCAAATAATCGTCACTTGATGACATCACAGATCGTGAAGGTTACTCATGACGTCATCACATGATGCGTAGCTTGGTCGAAGTGAGTCCAATCACAGAGGCTACGCAAAAACAGGTGAGGTGCCTTCGATCGTGAAGGCTGTGCAAAACGACGCTAGGTGCAGAAAGTTTTCGAATCATGGCGCGGCAGGATTAATGTATATAAATAGAATATCGACGATAAAAACAAGCAGAGTGCTTTGAACTGCGAGTCTCCTTAAGTGAATGCATAGGAAACCCTGTGAGTTTTGTAAGTACGGTGCAGCAGATCACACACGTACAAAACATGAAAACCATAGAGTTGATATACGCACTCTATGATGAAAACACACGCTCTCTGTCGGGCTGCCATTTGATTAACGGCCTTGCAAAAAGTTCGAGAAACTTCAATTTAACGCAAATACGTGGTTGTTGTAACGGCACTTCAAAGCACATTCGCGAAAAAAACAGAAGAAAAAGTTAGTCTGACAGGTTTGAACTGGACAGCGCTGAAATGTTTGAAACGGCAGTGCGAAAAGCAAAAAAGTGACATCCATTCAACTTTTTGCATAAAATACAAATGCAAGTGATGTAGGTTTTTAATTGTAGTTTCATCTCACAAGTTAGCCTTATGTTACTTTTTCTTCAGCTGGCTTACAACTGATTCACTATCTCAACAGGTATGTTCGGTCTGAGGAAAGTGTACACTCACCCCCCCTTAAATATACTCCCAATAAAAATTGGAAAAGAAATCAAAGAATACCTTTGCAGTATATCTCATACTGACAAGGGCAAGTGCTTGTACGTGTAACAAACTTGCATGACGCATCACAGGTCCACTTACCTCTCTTCACCTGCTCCACTTTTATGGTTAGGGGAGAGTGAGTAATGTGTATGCACACATACAGCTAGGCAAAGCAGTTGCTGCCTTGAAGATGTGTTCATGTGTCATAACGGCTGAAGCAACATTCCCTGTTCAACAATTCCTTATGACTTCAGCCCTCCTTCCTTTGAAGTTTTGTCTCGGTTCAATCAAACGAGTTTCAAGACATCTGAAACACCAGAGTGAGTGAGTGAACTATATTCAGTTCCTGCAGGTTACCGGGCTGGGTTCACCCCTATAGGAGCTGGCCAAGAGACCATGTCTCAGCAGCTTCTTTGACCTTCTGGATCGCCCATAGTTGATTATCTAATCCTGAGCTTAGTAGGTTGGTTAGCAAACGCTCCCAAAGGTCCTAATTAGAGGTGGCATCTCTCATTTTGCCAATTAGTGCAAGACACTCCGAGAGAATACGCACTAGTGCAGCCGTATTACTGCAACACTTGCACGAGATGCATTTCAAGAATCATTATATCCATCGTCGATTAAGTTTTTTTTACACACTACACTGCCACACAAAGCTGAGCTCAAAGCATCAGAGTATGTAGCAATGTGAACTTTGGCGCCATTACATCAAAATGTTCAGCAAAATGTACCTAGCAGCACAAATAAACCCGACATTATTACAGGGTAGATGAGGTGTATTCTCGGAGGTGCACGTCAGTTTTACTCTCACAGTATGAACGCTTGGCAGAAAACTCATATTCAGAGATATTGTGAAACAGTGAAAGTATACTCCTTCGCATGTAAAAAACATGCAAGGTTCATTAGTTTATGGAACAGTACCCATTTAAATGAGTACCTTCCTGCTTTAATTCCACTACTAAATTATATTCAACACACTGTTGCTCAAGATGCACAAGTACCTGCAATCTATAACTTACAATCAGCTGAACACATGCTGCTTGTGTTTCACAACACAGCAAGTTAGGAAGCAACCGTAACAAGTGTGCAGCCTTTCAGGTAACATACTGTTACTGCATCATGTGGCTGCAAAAGTATACAAGCATGCTTGTTCGAGGCCAAGTGCAACAAGATTCAGGTTTCTGCCATGCTAGTGCATTTCAAACAGGCTTAACAAGTCGCATGCACGTTATGCATGCCACTGAGATTTACAGAGCTGAGCATGCAATACTTGAAGCACAACTAGCTTGTGTACACATGTGGTGAGAAAAAAAAAAAAAAACGTGCTCACTGAAGTCTGTCCAGACATTTGTACTCATACTGAGGCATGTATTCAACAAAGATGCAGACAAATTTTTCTCTCAGCTCTGAAAAGCTATCTCCATTAGAAGTTTCACAATATAGTGGGTGCTTCCTTAAAATTACCTGGATATTAAATATGACTGCTCATATAAAAGCTGTACTTGACAGGATAGGGAGTAAAATTGCTACCATTAAAGAAACTGCACTCTCACACCCAGAGTAGCACAAATCAGTTGTCAACTACAGAAAACTTTAAGCACATCAATATGAGAAGTTGTAGTAAAGTTCCAGAAGGCACTCTTACCTTCAGCTTAGTCGTAGCCACTTGTCAAGCATGTTTGCAAGCTACAAGGTCAAAAGACCATATATTGCAGCACCATAACATTCCTACTGGATTGAGAACAGTGCCTGAACATCATTGCAGCATCCTGAATATTTAACACTAATTTGCTGAATTTTACCAAAGGCATGGTCACTCGTCTTCCTAACAAGAGTCATATTAATGTAAGACCGGTCATACCAGAATAAAAGACACAAATAAATCATTCGACGTTAAACTTCATTGAAACCTGTCTCGTCAGTAAAATGCACACCAAGAAATTGAAAATTGGACGCAGATACACAAATTTCAAGAAGACATTTGCACTGTCCTATCGAAATTTTTCATAGTCTGTGTCCTTTCGTACTTGCTAACTGAGGAAATCTAGTGACACAATGTATTGGCAGAAAAAGTACGCTGTATTGAAGGCATGCTACACTTATCATGCATGCACTGCAGCAGCACATGTGGTACACCAGCTGTTGCAGAGCATGCATAAGAGTGAAGACAACAGTGACAATTTTGGCATGGTTTATTGTGACTAACAGAAGAGCCTTGAGATATCTGCAGACAGTCGCGGCTTGGCATCAGTCGTGTGTCTGAGGCTCATTTGAAGATTTTGCCTTGGTTGAACTTCTTGCCACCAAATTCGCCATCCCACTTGAAGTATTCATCAACAAGCTTCTTTGTCTCTGTTGCTTCAGGATCCAGCTTCTTCCAGTCGTATGACTCATAGTCGACCTGCCAGTCTTCTGAAAGTTTGAACGCCAACTCGTGTCCCCTCCAAACCCATATGCCAGAAATGGTGCTGTTGTTGTCTTCACCAAAGAGAATGACGCTGGCAAATGCGTGCTTTCGCATTTTGTCCAAGCGCTGGAACATTCCCGAAATCAAGTTGCAGCTCATGAAGACTTGAGTAAGCTCGTCGGGGTACTTGTACTCACTGTACCAGATGCTGTAGTGCTCCTTATCAAATTTCTCCCAGAAGTATGGGACGGAGACTGTTTCACTCTCATTCGAGTAGCAGCGCTTGAAATCATCCATATTGAAGGTGCCTTTGGGGAATACCTCAAAAGGATCTTTCTTCGGGGGCTCAGCTAAAGCCGGTTCCAAATCGTCTTCCGGTTCAGGGGCGGCCTTGGGTTTGGGCTCCTCTTTCGGCTTCGCTTCCTTCTTTTCAGCTTTTTTAGTTGCTGTCGCGCCTTTCCCAGCCTTGCCTTGGACCTCCGCGTACAGGTTAGCGTCAAATTGGGCCATTTTTTGACACAACTGGACTTCTCCCAAAACAGCCTGGAACTGGGGCTGGTGTGCGAGTGTGTCGAACCATCGGTTGACATTTGCATACGGGGCGCGGAAGGCGGGCTCCAGTACAAGCTTGTAAAGCGGCAGGAGCGCCGTGAAAACTGCTATGTCAGCAAGAGAGATGCGCTCACCCACGAGGTAGGTCTTTGACAGCAGGTGCGTGTTGAGGTACGACAGGATTTTCTTCACGTCTTCCTTGGCGCGCTCCGTAGCCTGCTTGTTGTACTGGATGGCGCCGAGGCATGGGAACACCCACGTGCAAGCTGGCGGCAGAATCTCGCAGTCGGCGAAGCTGAGAAACTGGACCACTTGCGCTTGCTCCAGGAGGTTCTTGCCACGAAGCTGGTCGTTCGACACGTAAAAGGCGATGGCATTGCTTTCGGTGATGACATGCCCGTCGGACGTTTCAAAAGCCGGTACCTTGCCGAGCGGGAACTTCTCGAGAAAGCCCTGGGAGCCATTAGTGACACCGAATACAAAGTCGGGGGCATCGCAACATACCTTCAGCTTGAATTCACTGAATTTTGCAGCGATAAGAATTTTATAAGCACGGAAATTGTCCTTCCACGTGTACAAGGTACCAGCAGCCATCTTGACCAGCGTCGAAAAGGAGGCAAACGAGCACAATGAGCTCAAAAGAAACTTTGGTGTCCCTCTAGCGAATAGTATGCGTACTACTTAGTACAAAGAAGTCTTTTTGCAGTCACTACACTGTGCTAAAATAAATAAAAAAACTTGAAATTTGTATTAAAATTTAACTTTTAGTTTTTTTGTTTTCAAACATTTTAAATAGCTTTTTTATAAGTGGGGCAACAATTTCAGCTGCAGCACGATCAGTATCGACTCAAAAACACAGTGGTGGTGGCGGCGCGTTGCGTTTCAGAGTTGTGTGCTGGGTCTTGGTAGTGTATGAGTGGTGGTGTCAAATCCAATGTTTGAAGTGTGAATGCAAATACAGTTACCTGCAGAAGATGTGAATGACGACGTTCGTATTTAAAACAACCCCCGACTCCGGCTTACTGTCATGGCATCAGTAAGTGCTCATAATCGCTCAAGGACGGTGTTAGTGCCATTGCTGTGCTTTCAGTTTCAGTTTTCGGCGCGTAGCGAGATTTTGGTGTACAATCCTTCGTAATCTTTTGAAATGACATTAGTATCTCAAACTTACCTCACATAATTATCTAAGGGTAATTTAACAAGTTACAGATCACTAAGCGCTTGTCGCGGCCTCTTATCAGAGCAAGAATCTTCGATGTTGATGTGTCCTTTCATTGATCACTTTGTGCACAAAGCGAAACAAGCGCAAAGAGGGGACCGCACCGACACATGGCAGTGTGCACTCACTTATTTTCCTCGGCTTGCTTTCCTGACCTGCTGGGCCGTAAAAAAATTTTATTCTGGCTGCCATAATAAAAATTATAAACAACTTCGAGAGTAGTGCAACATGGCAAATAAATTAAATATTTACTTTATTCTAACAGTTTTTGATGGTGTTCCAGCCTTCTTTGGAGGACGTAAGTGAAATATATATATAAGGTAATGCTGGTCGGGTTACACAGCACACCGAAATGTCATAGTCTTCATTCATCCATTCAGTGTCATTTAGGCACCTGTACCAGAGGTACTTGTCTATATCCTAAACATTACCCTTGTCGGCAAAGCATTGTCCTGTTGTGTGCTATGGTTAGTAGGGCGCGTCACTGTTGTAGGGCTTCAAGCGAGAAACGTGCAGAATGTCAGTTCTGGATGTAAAAGTCGAGTTTGTAGTCAGGGAATTCTCATAGGAGACGGGTGTCACCTAGCGCAGAACTCCGTAAGGCCCAACGTATCGCGCTAAAAGTTTCTTGCAGAGGCCAACACGATGGCATGGGAGCCACAGTAGCATGAGAGAGTCTGGAGGAAAATCAGCATCCTTATGTCGATTGTCATAGAGCAACTTTTGTGCAGTCTGGGACGACGAGAACTGAGCGCGGGCTACTGTACGTACGATGAGAGCATGGGAGATGGAATCTTGAGCGTGTGAAGCGGTGAATGGAGGGTCAGTCGGAAGCAGGGTATCAAAATGTACTAAGGGATCACAGCCAAAGAGAAGATAAAATGGCAAGCAGCTGGCAGTTGCATGACGTGACGAGTTGTAAGCAAAGGTTGCAAATGGGAGGGGGATGTCCCGATCGGTGTGGTCATCGGAAACATACATGGAAAGCATGTCCGTCAGTGTGCAATCGAGGTGTTCATTAAGTCCATTAGTCTTAGGATGGTGAGAAGTGTAAAGTTGTGTCACGTAGCACAAGATCGAAGTAGGTTGTAAACTACACGAGACAGAAAGCAGCGGCCATGGTCCGTGAGTTCGTAAAAAGGAGCGCCATGCTGAAGGGTATTGGCGTAGAAAAGAAAATCTGCAATGCATGTCGTGCAGCTAGCCTGTAGTGCTCAAGTGATTGCATACCGAGTGGCATACTCTGTAGCTACTGCAATCTGTTTCCCCTTGCCAAAGTTGGGAACGGACCTAGCAAGTCCAACCCCACTCAATAAAATGGCTCAGCTGCGACTTCAATAGGTTGAAGGTGACTTTCCTCTGGGTTGCACGAGCGTCATAGCCCACCGTATCGACACTGGCGACGCCAGTCCCCTTGATAAGCGCCCTTATTTATTTATTTAGATTTACATTTCACCTACATCGCCGCAAGGCGTTACGTAGGGGAGGTACACATAATAATTTCACTACATAGTTTTCAATCGAAACAATAGATACAACAAATACAACAGCACTCCGAATATTTTAAGAGAAGAAAAAAAAAACAACACTCGAATATTGGTGAGCGAAAACAACGTCACAGTCATGCATTTGTAAACACCCACACGCTTCGAGACAACAAACCATTTGTTACATCGTGCATAATGAATAGCACAGCATAAACGGAGACATCTTGTTTATTTCATCTTCTTCCTTCTCCCCCGTGGCGGCCACCGAGCGCGTGCCACCGCACAGCGCTGTAGTCGGTAGCGACGCCTTATACCACATATCCCCTCTTGCAAAAAAAAAAATAAAATAAAATAAAAATAAATGGTAGAAACACACAAAACTGTTTTTGTCTACTTCCTAACGAAGTCCTTCAATTTCTTTGGGGTCTTCTTTTTACGCTTGCTTTTCCTTGCAGGCGCATTAAATCCTGGACTGGTCAAAGCTTGCGTGCCGTCTGGTGGAGATGATACGGGGTCTGCCCTTTCATGACCATCCGCTCTTGATGTGTCCCATTGGGGCGCACTAGATGACCGATCAGATGCAGGGGACCAGTTCATAAGGGCAGCGGTTTCAGGCTGTAATGCATGAGAAGACCGATTAAATGCAGGTGTCCAGTTCATAACAGCAGGGGTGCCCGATTTCATTTTGTTGACCGCTCCGGAGTGAACTGCGATTAACTTAGATGCGTTCCACACACGCCCATCGTCCAAAAGGTACGAGGCCGGTCCCCGTTTTCCAATGATCTTCTTGGGCGCGGAAAATTGTGAAGACAGCTTACCGTGAGCTGCAGTTGTCTTAACGCGCACGTAATCACCAACGACGAAACTGGGTTCCTTGGCTCCACGTTTTTCATCGGTGTAGCTCTTCGAGATCATTTGCTTCTTTTTGACATGCTCTCGTAGCTGTTCAATCGCCCTTGACGGGTCCGTGCTGAAGCATCTGTCGGGCAATCCCAATATGTCAAGTCTGGTGCGAGGTTGGCGTCGATGAAGAAGAACAGCGGGTGTCGCACCAGTAGTCGCGTGAGGCGTACAGCGATATACTTGCAGGTAATCAAGCATGGCTGTTCGTACGTCACGACGTTCAAGCAGGGCTAGTTGAATGTACGACTTCAGCACCCTATTGAATCTCTCCACCAAGCCGTTAGCTTGTGGGTAATACACGGAAGAGTTGTAGTGCGTTATTCCACGCTCCGTGAGAAACTCGTCAAAGCTTGCTGAAGAGAACTGTGGTCCATGATCGGATACAATACTACGTGGGTAGCCTTCTCGCGCAAAAAGTTCAAGTAAAAACTTCTTCACTGTAGACGTGGTCGCATCTCGCACGAACGCCACTTCAGGCCACTTGCTATAATAGTCAATAACAGTAATCGCAAAACGGCAGTCGGCCGAAGCTTGCGTGAAAGGTCCCACAATGTCGATGGCAATTTTTTCCCACGCCGCGTCAGGAAGAGGAACAGGTTGCAGTGGCGCTGGAAAGGTACGTGCGGACTTGTCACAAGACTGGCAAATCACGCATGTGCGCACCAGTTCTTCAATGTGACTATCCATGCATGGCCACCAATAGGACTCTCTCAGGCGAGCTTTGGTACGACTAATGCCTGGATGTGACTCGTGGGCCAGATCCATAAGGCGGCGTGTCAACGTTGCAGGCACGACAATCCAATGCTAATCCAATGGGCTTTGCCCGCGTGGGTTCGAATCCCATCCTCGTCGCCAAAATATGTTACATCGTGCATAATGAATAGCACAGCATAAACGGAGACATCTTGTTTATTTCATCTTCTTCCTTCTCCCCCGTGGCGGCCACCGAGCGCGTGCCACCGCACAGCGCTGTAGTCGGTAGCGACGCCTTATACCACACCATTCTTAGTGGCAGTGATATTGTAGGTGTTGTTACAAGGAAGAAAAAAGGATTCATTATCAGTTTCATTGACGAGATCATCCGGTAGACGGTTCCATTCCTGTATTGTTTTTACGAAAAAAGAACTACCGAATGAGCGGGTAGCGGTATTCTAATATTTTTCGTGAATGGTCTTGAGGATTAGAGACGTACGTTGGTGTGAACAGATAATCAAGAGGGTTAATGGCATTTCCATTATAATATATAAAATGAAGAAATTTAAGCCTCAGTTTCTGCCTCCTTACCATCAGTGTCTCCCATTTCAATGCTCGTTTCATTTCTGTGGTGCTTGCAAAGGAATTATAGTTGTTGCTAACAAATCTGGCTGCTTGGTTTTGAACTTTTTCCAGTGCGTCAATCAAGTATTGCTGATGGGGATCCCAGATTACGCAAGCATAATCTAGAATAGGTCTTACATACATGAGATAAAGAGTTTGTTTCACGGTCTGTGAAGCTTGCCTAAAATTTCTGCATATGAAGTATAGCATCCGGCCTGCCTTGGTCACAGTTATGTCAGTGTGTTTATTCCACTTGAAATTGTCGGAAAAATAGATGCCCAGATACTTATAATAGGATTCACTGCTAATTATTGAATTATTTATTTCGTATATTGTGTCTAGTTTACTAATCCGGTTGGTGAATGATACACAGCAACATTTACGGACGTTTGCTTGCCCTTACCTTGTATCTCACCCAGGGCGCTAAATTATTCAAAAGAAGATAGAGAAAAAGCTTGACAAAGGCGTCATAGAGCCTTCCTCAAGTCCTTGGGCATTACCTTTCGGGCTTGTTAAAAAGGACAACAGCTGGCGGTTCTGCATTGGATATCGCCATCTCAGTCGAATCGCAAAGGAGGATGCCTATTCTCTAGCTTGAATTAATGATGCGCTCCACTGCCTCCAAGTATTTCACTTCACTGGATCTCGGATCTGGATACTGGCAAATTTCTACCGATGACCGTGACCACGAGAAGACAGCATTAATCAATTTAACTCTTTCGTTGCCGCACCTATTCAAATCTTTCACCGGGGATCGATGCTTTGGTTCATCGATTTTGGCATGTTAAATTTGTTTCTCGTGGACCCAGCACTTTCTAGTAGTTAGCCCAGCCACTCAACTTTCAGAATCAATTTGAATTTGCCCTTTTCTTGCAACATCGTGGTTCTTGAAACACTTTTGCTTGAACCAATGTGCATGTGTTGTTGGAAAAAGGCACTAGGCTGGCGAACTTGACAAAAGCGGTTGCCCGTCGTGATTATGCCATAGTAGCATTGAAGGTATGTAATCAAAAGAACCTTTGCAAACCAAATATCAAATTGAAGAGTGGGCTTTGCAATTTGACAGTGTTGAGCTGTGATAATTGCCAGAAATTTATGCCAGCTATTCAA